TTCCCATTGCTTTCGTGACGAGGCCAGCCCTTGCGCCAGGTCTTTCCGTTCGTCGACTGCCGCGGCGCCTCGTTCCACCAGTGTATCAGATTGCATGGTGGCGATTTCTTTCTTGGCCTCATCAATGGCTCGCCGCGCGACGGTCTGCTCCGATGATCGATATCCTCCGGCTTCTGCGATTGCGCGACCTGAGTGTTTCTGTGTGTTACGGACATTAGGCAGTGACTCTGCTCGCCACAATGATGCAACTGTACAGTTAGATTGTCCCGAGGCGAGCCGATGTCGTTGGTCTGCTGGTGTGGTTGAGAGTTTTCGGCGGGCTGCGGTTCGTCGATATCCTGTCCAAGATCCAGCGTTAGATGTATTGCCAGCTCCTGCGCAGTCCCGGAGAGGCGTCCTCACCATCGCGGATACCGTTCCTGTTGCGGGATCCAAGGGCAGGGAAGAAGCGCCCTCATCCGGAGCGTTATCGGGGGGAGGCCTGAGCCTGAACTTATTGCCTTTCTTTTTACGAACAGCCATGACGATCTAAGTGTGTACCAAGAGTTCTAGCTGTTGAGTAGATGTGCGTCGATGGTGGCGATAGTCAGAGGGAACGGGGGAGGAGAGCGAGCACACTCAGTGGAACGGCTTTAGGTGCGCGAACCCTCATGATCATGCATGCCGTTTCCGCGTGCTGTGCGAAACCCTACTCGGTCGAGATACCTTCATTGGTTACATAGCTCTGGGGGCTAAAGCGGGGCCGCTGCGGGGATCTACTGATGTTCGTGAGAGCGGACGGGAGACAAAGCTGCATTGGCCACAGGATGATGTTGGTGAGTATACTTCAAGGAAAGAGTGTTACAGCGGATGTGTTTCCCGAGCAGTTGGAGTTGACTAGGTGCATCACAGGTCTCCTCGGGTAGCCCTTAGCGTAGGTCCGTCGTCCGAATCTCGTGCACGGCAGCTCAACAATGCGTTCCAGCCGAGCTGCAAAGATTTGAGTTGTAGAATTTAGCTATCGATGCAGCGCAAAACAATCGGGATGGGAAATTGGACGCATTCCGGACGTGTAGCTTTTGCAGCTTGTCGTAGCGCAGTCAAACGTTAAAGCCCGCGGTCGACGTTTGCGCGAGAGAATTCCCACCCAGCCTTTGGTCTTGCACCGATTGCACCACTACCTCGCTCTGCTGGCATACGATACTGACATGCGCGATCATCAACTGCGTCCAAGATTGCTATCAAAGCCGCCGATATAAGCCGATACAGCCATCAGCCATTCATCTCCTGGCTAGGCTGCGGCGACCCGCCTACTCTATTGCCGTCGGATCATCCGCGCCTTCAGGGTCCAACACTTGTGCCAGCTCGGACTGAACCAATTCATTGCGCAGTTGGTCACAAAGTCGATCTTTTGCGCGCAACGGGCTGACTCGGATAAGGGATAATCGAAGCCGATGAAGAGTGTATCTAGGTACGCGCAAAGATGGAAGGACATGCGTAGCCTATCATAAGCTCTTCTCGCACGAGATAGCATGCGCATTCAAGAATCAACGCCGTCGGAGGTAGTGGGCAACTATGTGCGTACACCTCGTTTTGTGGCTCGATCGTGTTCAAGGTCATCGAGGAGCATCTCCGGGTACCATGATCTCGAAGACAATTTCGATTTCTTCCATGAAGGCAAGATGGTGTCATCCACGAATCTCCTAGGCCATGTTCTGAATCAAAAGGCGATGTCAGCCCAGTATGCCAACTCTTGCCGGAGTACCGCATTTGCAACCGTCGACAGGACTTCCGTACGCCACTTTGCCAAGTTACGCGACAGAGTCCTGGCGACTCTCGTGAACCATCACAACCGCCAAGGCCCTACTAGCGGGTCCTCGATGAGCCGACTCTTTATTATGCGACCTGGTTCGTCCATATCTATGACCCCTTCAGTCTTGGTTAACCTGGTAGTTCATGTAGGGTAGCGACGAGCTGCATGTCGTATACGGAGCGTCGTGCGAGAAGAGAGAAGCGAGCAAATTCTACGCGTATGAATTCATCTTCCACTGCCGATGACAGAAAACAATCCGGACGGTGAGTGTCGCTTGCGTGGTACGTCACGCTGGTCCTCAAATTGGCTTTTATCGACGCAGACCAACTTGGAGCTCTATCATAGAACGTACGCCAGCTGGCCTTCGTTAACAGCGCGTAAACCGGTGGAAGAGCCTTCTTGAAGCTACGGCGCCGGCGTCGTCGACAGGATAAGGACCCTTGCATGGCGGGCGCTGTGCGAATGGAAGCAACAGCACTCCCAACGCAAGTTGTTCCAGCCACTCCCATCCGCCGCTCCGCAGGTCAAGCTAGCGTACGACCCGAGCTCGCTGCCGTAACCCCTGCAGGAGCCGGATGACGGCCGGCCGCGCTGCGGATGCATCTGCTGTTACTGAAGTCGCGTTCCAACTGCGGGCGTCGGACGCGTTCGCGCCAAGTCTGGCATGCGAGAGGGAATTGCGTTCAGATATCGCGAACGTTGGCGTAATTGGTACCTCGTACTTTACTCAGCTGCGCGGGTCGAAAGGTAATCAAGTCAGATATATTGGACTGGTGTACACTATGATACACGTTCAACAATAACTGGGCTCACGCACGGCTATGAGCTCATGTGCACCGGCCATGATATCTGTTGTACAGTTACTGAGGTTACAAGATCGTGATACCTTTCACATGCCCGGTGCTTTATCGCGCAGTAACGTGAATCAAGGGCATTAGCCCGACGCTGACATGATATCGCACGCTCCGGAGCATGCGCGAGTTGAGGCGGCACCGGTACCTGTTCTGTGCTAAGAGTCGACCAGCGAGGACCTGACGTCTCCCGATCCCGGCCGTTCCACATCCGGGCTGGTCCGCCCCCGTCCGCGTCCTCGTGGTCCATGGCGCCGATGTTCGCGTCCCCAGAACTTACACGATGGTTGTCGACGAAGCATGCTCGACCCGAGCCCCTCGAGCTTGCTGCGTTCAACACACTGGCGGAGTTGGAAGAGCGCCCAGACTGGCCATCGGGGGAAAAATCTCATGATGGTCCGCAACGCAGATTCTATGGGATAGGGAGTCAGTCGACGAAGAGAAAGCGGGAGGTGAGATAGAGGGTTGTAGAAACCTGTGGAGGCGCCGGGAGCAGGTTATGTCCTGCGTTGGGTAGTCATTGAACAACCTGTGGAAGTAAGCCCCCGGACGATGGTCGTCGGTTTTTCACAAGATCGATATCATTGGGGAGAACACAATGCAAACCCGCGATAATATCCCTAGTTCGCGGGGATAATTTTCGCCGCCAGCAACCATGTACATGCACACTGGCACACTGATGCCAAGTCCGTGACGGCGCACGTCGTATCCAGTTCAAACATGATGCCGGCCTTGAGGATTTCGAGCATCGGTAGGTTCGAATACGAGGCGCCTGGAACGCGCGTTTGCCCGTCAGCGTCGATCGAGAAATGCATATAGAATGGCAAGCCGATTCACGCGAGAAGAGCTCGCCAGAACAGACCCAAGATAGGGCTACGCACTTTGATCGGCAATTCCGGCGGCCACGACACGTCGACGATCTGAGCGTGCAGGTAGATGCCACGGTCCTGGAGGTTGTAGAGGTCAGCGATGGTGGAGAGCGAGCCGAGATCACGTCCCCGGTGCATTAGGAGCCAGGTTGCCTACAGAGAATGGATGTGTTCGTTCGGCACATAGCTTTGAGAACAACCCGAATATGTGAGGAGCTCCTTTCGATGGTCATGGTGGGCGACATCGTAGACCCTCCGTTCAAATTGGTCGACATCCGCCTGCGCATCCCAAGGGTGCATGCACTCGATGCAGCTCTCGTGTTGATCCCGAGCAAATTCAAGCTTGACGTCTTGGCCAGACTGGGCGTATACGCTTGGAGCTTCTTCGGCTTCGGAGAGCCGGTCGCTGGACGACATCGCCGACGACGATATACTTTCCACGAGCGAGCAGGCGCGACGGTTGTGAGCCCGTAGTGTTCGATGCGCAGAACAGTCTGAGGAGACAAAGGGTGTGAGCGGGAGGAAAATGTGCAGGTACTGGCACGCGAAATGCAACACGCCGGGGAGGCCATCGAGGTGGATCATGGCGTCGGCATGGGAGCAGAGGTGCGGTCCATACAAGGGAATGAACAGACGAGGATGATCGTCGAGGATGATCCTGCGAGTATCGAAGTCTCATGAGCTTTATAATCCTGAGGTCGGCGGGTTCTCGAAGGCGTTTTGAGATGGACATTCAACCGCCCCGACGTCGACGCAAGCTTGGTATTCTTCTGGACGGTATGATCTGCATCGTGGACATGAGGTGAGTAAGGGGAACTCGTGTACCAGCACATACTCAAGAGTACTCACGCTGGACGCAACCGCCGAGTATCTGTTGCTCGGGCTCATCCATGTTTACATCCCGCCTGGCATGAGTCATCCTTCCGAGTCGCGTACATCTTGGTGTGCGCGACGGAGGCTGAGGGACGGAAAACGAACCGGTCGGCCCGGTGAGCCTCGTACGGCGCAAAGTGGTCCTTGACGCGAAGGGCAGTCATGAATCCGCGCGTTCCCGGAAGTAGAGTATGAGCCTGCGAACGTGCATCAGCGTCTATCCATAGGCAGATACGGTATAGTAAGGGCGACCGATGCAAACGACGGAGATACACCAAGAGCGTATACAAGCATAGAAAGAGGTACGAGGGAAATCGCGCACCTCGATCGCGGTTCTTCGGACGATCGCGTCAACGTCGAAGACCTGGACGAGTTGGCAGGGTATGGTACTTCCGCAGATTGGCAGGTTGGTGTGTAGGCGGAGAGCGGGCCAAGGTAGAGCAGGTCAAGTTTGTTGTCGTGAGGTAGGCTACAGAAATAGTGCATATATGCGCTCGTCAGCATGCGTGAGCTTCAGGTCGAATAGGGTTGGAAATTGAAGAGGAAAGGCTGACCGGGGCTGGAAGCGCCGACATGCATACTCGGGCTACCCATGCTGGGCGATATCGTCATCCTCCCATCTGATACCACTCAGGTCTGTATGCCAATCCGAGAGCCGGCATATCCGGCACGGTGGTCGTGGCTATAGCGAGCTCGATGACATCGCCAGACTGGGCCCATTCGGTCAGAGCTTCTTCGTCTTCGGAGGACCGGTCAGCATTACGATGGACCAAGTTGACGACGACGAGACACTGGGAGCGGACGAGGAGGCTGGACAGCGATGACGGTGCTCCGGTCTTGCGGATATGATGTTCGATGCGGAGAGTGGTTTGAGGAGCCGTGAGGCGTGGTCGCGAGGATCAGGTACACGGGCTAGCGTATGCCCTGCTTCATGGCCGATGCAGTTTATCGTATTGGATCATAGCGCCGATGGCGAAGGAGAGGGAGATGAGACGCGGTGGTGTGAGGTGAGGGGACGGACGTCGTTGCTCTTCGGGATGGCCCTAGGCGACGGAGGTGTTCGAGTCCTGAGGTCGGCTCATTGCTGGATGAGCTCTTAGTCTCGAGCGCAGCATGAGAGACGCGTTGCGTGATACATCGAGGACCAGAGGAAGCGGGATGGAGACTCGACATCGCCCGGCCGGATGAGACGTTCCGCACTGCTGAGGCCGAGTGAACAAACGAACGTCGTCAACCAGCACATACTCGGACACTCACGCTGTTGTTCACCGAACATCGATATCATCTCTTGCTCATATTCATCCCCGTTCCCCTCCAGCGAGACACAAGTCATTGATCTGACTTGCAATGCGGACATCTTGACGTGTGGAGCTGGCCGAGAGAGAGAGTGGGCGCACCGGAGCTGAGGTCACGTGCGGCGGTGCAAGTTCTTGGGCGGCGGAGGTCGCCTTGCTGGCGCTTCGTCTCCGCTCTCGAGGGCGGCGAGGAGGATCCCTGCCCGCTCGCCCGCTGTTTCATCCCACCCTCCTCACCCTGTTACATTAGTGGAATCCACATAGTTACTTCAAAGAATCTATTCCAACAAGATATCGAATGCCCGAACATTCGTCCGATATGCAAGAGGAGTGGCCCCTATTCAATTTCCCACGGATCACATGATCCTTGCTTGTCGTTTTTCTGTTATGCCTCTGCTCCGCAAAACAAGAAAATGACAAGCACAAGTCACATGACACCAAGGACCGTGAGAGCAGGCTCGCCCCTTTGGGACGCCGATGGAAATCTGATGTCACGGATTGTAGAGAGACTCGGCCGAGTCGGCCGGGGGCGAGCCGTCGCGCTCGCACCCGGCCGACGCCCAAGCCAAGAGGCTTCACCCACACCTGCCGGTGTCTCTCAACGCGCCGTGGATACACGGGCTGCAGGACCGTAGCCCGCCCAAGACTCCGATGTCGCGCGCGACCGCCGTCGGCCGAAGCCGATCCAGCTTGTCCTTCTTCGTGCCTTGGTTCGTCGCCCCGGGGGCACTCAGATGTGCACTCGCATGGCAATATCATATAATGCGTCTCGTCTCGATCGTGTTCTCCGAGCCTGCTTCGTACAGCACGCAACTCGTTGTATCATCGTACCTGCCGCTACCGTCGGTCCACCTACTACCTGCCTCAAGTCAGCCTACTCCAAGACAACGGATTTGAGTCCATCCCCAGTATGCTCATTCGCGCGTCCATAGCTCGCGTGAAGCACGCCAAACCGAACGCGGGGTCTTTCGCCTCCCCGGCGCGGCTACATCAAAGCGGGGCTATTGAGGCTGACGAAGCATTCGTCCTCGCTGCAAAATGGAAAGGAGCGTGCAAGGCA